TATATATATATATAGTCAGTACAGCGTGTGCATGTGTTGATAACTAGATAATATAACCAGTATATAATAGTAAATAGCACTCACATACACAGATAACCAAGCAAGCTCAGTTTGATAAACATCTCGCTCACAAAGTATGCTCAACACTTTTCTATGTGCGTTTTATAAATATATATTTATTCAAACTTGTCAGCCACATAGACGTAATGCTTCTCAAAACAGCATTTAAAACCCCACTTTCGAAAAATATAGTGCATTTAAGTGTTTGCGTGACGAAGTTGGTAAGGGAATTGTTGTTTTAGTCGCTGGGGAGTTTTGTGACTGCTGTTAGCCTTAATTATATCTCCCTAGTTATACATACTGGTTCGATGTGAGCTTCGCATTGGCCACTTGTAAGTGAGTTATCAAAATTCCTCATCTTTTCACCTACACGGTGATTAGAGTAACCCCCGTTCTGCTCAGCCTCCAAACGCTAATGTCAATGTCATACTCTTGGCAATAGTTTTTTTTTACTTAAAACTTAACGAACTAGACGTGTAGACAGATACTGTGTAACCCTGGTAATTTTTCCTTGTGTAGATGTGGCTATAGCAAACCCTGTGTTTTTAAAACACGGTATATTTGGCTCAAATTTTTGGAGGTGTGGCAAAACGGGTTTGTGGTACAAAGGCGGGGTTCTGAAAACTCCTGAAAGTGGTACAATAATGGATATCGAGTATTATCGAACAGTCTGTAAATAACTCCATTAGCTCACAGCTAGCTTGTAAACGAAAATCACAGTGTTTTAAAAGACGGGGGTTTCATACCCGTGGTTTTCAAATGATCGTGTAGGGATTGGGTGTGCTGTATGTGTTTTTGGCTCACATGCACATGTGCATGTAATCATGTAATTCGGATCATTTTACCATAAGTTATATGAACGTACGCGTCTGTGCGTGCGTGCGTGTGCACCTACATATATGTTCCTTGTACTACGTGTGCGAGTGTGTATTGGGGGGGGGGGGCGTACGCGCGTGTATAAAGTCACTAGTACAATCAGGAGTTAATAATGACAAACAACAAATTTGTCATTATTAACCCCTGCTACAATATTATCGGCTTTCTGAATTCAGATAAAGTTTTTTATTTTTATCATAAGTCTGGACTAACGCGACCGTTCGTCAACCTGTCTGATTTATTTTCTGTTGTATTATTAGCTCATCTGACGTAGTCAGATGCAGCTTGTAGAATCGCATGATTGTGCGTCCGTGCGTCCGTGCGTCCGTGCGTGCGTGCGTGCGTGCGTGCGTGCGTGCGTGCGTGCGTG